AGAGGAGGACACATACAAGGAGGAAGACTGGCCTAAATCAGGCTCTGAAAATGATGTCATTAATGAGACAGGGTGATAGGAGTTCTTTTCTGATACAGATCTAAATGAGAAGAATAACTAGGTTATACTTTCAGTTGTGTGTGACCAAATATAAAAATTAAGAGTGACATAATTTCTTCCCCTCCCTCCCCCCGAGATGGAGTCTGGCTCTGTCACCCAGGCTGGAGTGCAATAGTGTGGTCTCAGCTCACTGCAACCACCACCTCCCAGATTCAAGTGATTCTCTTGCCTCACCTCCCGAGTAGTTGGGACTACAGGTGTGCCCAACATGCCCAGCTAATTTTTTGTATTTTTAGTAGAGACAGGGTTTCACCATGCTAGCCAGGATGGTCTCAATCTCCTGATCTCATGATCCGCCTACGTCGCCTCCCAAAGTGCTGGAATTACAAGTGTGATCCACTGCACTCGGCCAAGAATTACACATTTTCTAAGATCAGGGTATAATCAGAAGAGAGAAGCTGGCAGGGCTTGTAAAAATCATCACTTTTATTTGGAATAGAGCTGGGAGATACCCATAAATTATCTAGTTTGACTCCTTCATCTTACAGAAGAGGAACCTGAGATGGCAGAGGCTCCTTGTGTCTGACCTCTATTAAATTCTCCTCAAGCTTTCCAGAGTCACTGTCCTGAAGCATGTATCTGATCATGTCACTCCCCTGCTTGAAACTTTTTGGTAATTCCTCACTGCTATGAAGTCAAGCCTAGATTACAAACCCTTCAAGACTGGCAATTACTATCTTTTCAGTCTTACCCCTCCACTGGCTACCCTAGTCCCCATTCTGTATTTATATGCAGTCCTGTGAAGTTCCTCACACACACTATGATTTCTTACGCCATCTTGCCTGTGCATATACGGTTTCTGCTGCCTAGAAGGCCACTACTTATTCCTCCTCCAAAACTGAACTCAGATGTGACACTTTAGTGGAAAAGTCTGGCCTGCATCCCTCCGAAAGCCTGGCATGATCAACTACTTCTTCCTCTGTAACACTCTGTTACATCATGCTGTAATGTAATTTTTGATTCTCAGCTAGTCTCTAAGCTCCTTGAGGGCATCTTGTTTTTGACTCCTTAGTGCCCAGGCATAATCCGGCACACAGAAGACATGCAAGCATCGCTGGCTGACTAGATGTGTAAGTCTCAGAGCAGGTAACTTCGCAGCAGAAATGGGTCTTGAAATTGCAGATTATTTTGAAAACATATATCAGATTCATGTCTCTTAGTCCAGAACTCTTTGTACTAAATGATTAATGAGCTTGTGTTAATCCATATATTATAAAGAGCTTTTAAAATTAAACTTTTATGTTTATCATTCAAAATGGCTCAGATTAAGGTTTTGTTTGTTTTTTTTTTTATCATTTGAATGGCCCAGACTAAGTATTTTGATACGTGCCCTCAATGCTATAGGTAGGTCAGAGATAAAAGACCAAATGGCCATTAAATGACCCTCAAACCAAAAGGTCACCTAGTAAGCTGATAAGCCATTAAACATTTTGAACAAAATCCTACTTCCATACAGCATTAAGAGTACAAACAGATATTTAAGAGACAATATTCTGAAATAACTTTGTTCTGTCCTTTTAAGTATACGTTTTATTTTACAGTCTACAAATAACACTGAGTTACAAACTTACCTGGAAGAGTCACTAAGAGAGTCTTCCCTGATGACCAATGGCTGAACTTCCTTTAAATTTAATTTATCCTGGTACATTTTCTCTAATTTTGCCATAGTTTCTATGTGGGCAGCCTTCAACTCTTCTAATTTCTTGAAATACTCCTCATTAGAGTGGTAAATACCAGAAAGGTTCACAAAGTCCTCAGAGCTTCTCGGTGCATGTTCATCCACCCCAGAAAAGTTGGTGTTAAAATCGGCCGACGCCCCCGCGGGCTGCGCCACTTTCTCCTCCTCTTCGTCCTCCGAGGTCGCTGTCGCTGCCGCCAGGGCCTGTAAGGGGTCTTCGCTTTCGTACTGGGCGACCCGCGCCCCAGTAATGAGATTGACCGGTACCTGGAGACTGGAGGCCGCCAGTTTCGCCGCTTGGTGGGAGGCGGCCATCACCCCGCCTCCGCGGCCTCAGCGCCTGCGCTGGCCCCAAGATTTTTTTCTTTAAGGATCATGACATTGGTCTGGTAAAGAGTTTTTGGATGAGATCCCAAAAGCACAGGCATCAAAAGCAAAAATAGACAAATGAGATTAGATAAAACTAAAAAGCTTCTGCACAGCAAAAGAAACAATCAACAGAATGAAAAGACAACTTTCGGAATTTTTAAAAAATTGCAAATTGTGTTTTGACAAACAGTCAATAGCCAGAATATATAAGAAACTCAAACTCCTCAATAGCAAGAAAATAACCTCATTAAAAAGTATGCAAAAGATCTGAGTAGACATTCTAAAAGAAGATATACAAATGTGAACAAGTATTTGAAAAAATGTTCAACATCACTAATCATCAGGCAAATTCAAACTAAAACCACAATGAGATATATTTTCCCAGTTAGAATGGCTATTATCAAAAAGACAAAAAATAAAAATGCTGGTGAGAATGTGGAGAAAGGGGAACTCATACACTATTAGTGGAACGTACATTAGTATAGCCATTGTGGACTAGAAACAGTCTGGAGGCCCCTTAGAAAGTTAAAAATAGAGCTACTGTTCCAAGAATTCCACTACTAGGTACATATCCAAAGGAAATGAATTAAAATGTCAAAAAGACATTGCATTACTGTGTTTACTGTACCACTTTTCACAATAGCCAAGATATGGAATCAATGTAAGAGTCTATCAATAGATAAATGCACTTTGAAAAATGAATATATACATGATGAAATAGTATTCAGCCATAAAAATAATGAAATTCTTTTATTTGCAATTACATGGATAAACCTACAGGATTTTATGTTAAGTGAAATAAGCCAAACACAGGGCAAATATCAAATGATCTCTCTCATATGTAGACTCTAAAAAAGTTGATCTCATAGAAGTAGAGGGTAGAAAAGCAATTATCAGAGGCTGGGGAGGGGAGCGTGGAGGAAGTGATGAGGAGAGATTGATCAATGAGTACAAAATTACAGTTAGATGGAATAAATTCTGGTGTTCTATTGCAAAGTAGGGTGACTATAGTTAATAATAACGTATATTTCCAAATAGCCAGAAGAGGATTTTTAATGTTCTCACCACAAAAAAAAATGACAGTTGTTTGAGGTAATGCATGTGCTAATTATCTCAACTGATTATTACGCAATGTATGCATGTATTGAAATATCACACAGTACCTCATAAATATGTACAATGATTACATGTCAAAAGGAAAATAAAACTTAAAAAAAATTTTTTTACAGGTGAGATTTTATGATTGATGTAAAAACAACCTTGCTTGCCCTCCAATTGTTCTTCTTAGCCTGATTCTCAAAATTCAAACTGAGGAAAAAATTATAATATGTGTGCACACATTTTCATGTTTATGATTAAAGGGTAATATTTGTGGAAATAATTTAGAAACATCTACTTCTACATCTCTGTCTTCCCTGATATATGCTCTGCCTTATTCTTTTTAGATTGTGGGGATTTTTAGCTCAAAGGGGTCTTTGCAGTAATTTAATTTAGCCACTACATTGAACTAATGAGGAAAGAGGCTCAGGGGTAGAGTCAGTTCCTAAAAGAGGTGATTCAGTACTCTTGACTTCCAATTCAGAATTCTTTACCTTACATCAGATGCTAATATCTCTGTGTTCTTTATCTTGTCTCTTCTTATTGGCTTCCTGAGACAGTGAAATGCTTTTTACGCTAGCCCTTGTTCAGCATATAACTGTTGCAGACGTTTTGAATAAGCTACAATCCTTGGCATTATCTTGCTGGTATGTCTGTGTACTAAAGTGCTGTGTCTGATTAGTGTCCTTACTTGAATTCTGAGTTATTTGCAGACACTTTTTATCTTCTCTCTTTCAAGGGAACATATTTTTTAAAGAAACTCCTGTTATTATTTTGGGATTATTCAGCATAAGAGAGACCACTGGATAGGGCAAGGTTATAGTTTGCAAACAGTAAGTTCTATTCTGCATGATTTAAGCAGGTTTAATCAACAAGAAATTTATTGTAGAACATAATTAGTTCATGTAATATCCAGGAAGACTAGAGAAATGGGTCTGTATGCTACATAACTCAAAATAGTGAAGCCAGGGAAAAAAAATGCCTTTTAGACAAGAGACTATTCCAGTAAGAAAAAGGTAAAAAAAAAAAAAAAAAAAAAAAAAAGGCTGGACACTTCCAGTAAGTGGTGCACAGTGGTATACCACTTAAATCCTCCATCTGCGAGTCCTCTACTACACTGGGGACAGAGATTTTATCATCTTAAAACCACTAGAGTCAACGCTTGGGTTCCCTTCAGTCATCCATGGAGCTTCCAGAGCAGTTAACTCTCATTTCAACAAGGTATCCATGACAACCTCAATAACCTCTGCACAGGGACTGACTCTTTAAAGCACAAACTGATGGTGCCTGAAAGATTAGCACCATGACATGGATCAGCACCATGAAGCTTCATCATGAGTTTCTCCTGACTGATTGAAACCCCTTTTCTGTGGTCCAGGTTTTAGAACCTGCCTCCCACAGGCATCCCTGAAGTGTGTTTCTTTCTCAGGCCTATTGTGTTCAGAAAAGATGCCCTGTAAAAGCACTAGAAGGACTTCTGTCAAGACAGTTTTATTTCTCAATAATAGAAATGGTCACTACTGTGGTGATTCATTTTTCTAAGATGCGAGTAATTTCTTCTAACGTCATTGTTTAAACAGGCATCTTTTTATTTTGGGAGTGTATATATAATATCTTTATATATTTTATACATTAAAATAATAAGAATATTTATAATTACTCCTGTTGTTGTTTTACCGATTTTGATGATATTAAATGAAGTTCCTATCATTCATGGTAAGAGGAGAGAATTGGAAATGTAGTAGTTAAAACAGATTTTCCTAAGGTGGAAGCAAACTTCCCTGTTGCAAAATGTTTTTCTGAAGGAAAATTAGGAGATTCATTACAGAAGATAACATAATCACAGAACTGCACATTTGGTGAGATTTTGGGGTAATATAAATGAATATGCTTACCCTGGTATGGGTTTTATTCAAATACCACACAGATGATGTTTCTATTGTCTAAAATGATTCTAAGCAAAGAGTAAAGTATATCTGAGTACATTCCAGATGAGAACGAGATTTATTTACTGGACTCAAAACTCAACAAACATTTAAATAAACTTATTCAAAAGAATAAAAGAAAAGAAACAAGGAAATGAATAAAGAAAAAAAATGTGTGTATAGAGTAAAATTCCAGAGCTGAATTCATAAAGAATTTCTGTTGTGAATCAAACACACATTTTAGAAAGCCTGTCAACAACCCATAATCATCATCCGATTACCTCTTGGCTTATTGGTCCTTCAAAATTTTGGCCCAAATACTCAAAAATGTTTTGATTTGGAGGAATAATCAATAATCCCACTGGAACATTATTTAGGTTTTCTTTCTTTCTTTTTTTTTTTAATTTGGCAGTTTCCTGTACCTCTGGCAAAACAAGGTAAAATTAAATTTTCTTTAAAAAACAAACTATTCTGCTCTCTAATCCAAATTATGAGGTCTCATTCTTCTGAAATGAGAATTTGGAAGCCTCATTACCCATAGTATTATATCAGAGAAAAAGATGAAATTTCTGACATATAACAGGGATCCAATATACTTCACTGAGTCCAGATAAGAGTGAAGGTAAATGCCTAGACATGAACAATCAAGAAGTGCCTAGCCTATCTGAAATTCCACCAGGAATATTTTCCGATAGAGGAAAAAATAGATGGAAATAGATGGTGAGGAAAATTCACTTCCAAATAAATAAATTATTAAGTACACATATGCAAGATTTGGCACCAATTTATTACCACAAATCTCATAGCTTTAAGGGTTTACAAATGGAAACAGATTAATATTAATGAAGGAAGATATATACAGAGAGCAATTGTACAGGTATTGTATATGGCAGTTATTAAATAACATGTTTATATTATGTGAAGTCATCTGTGGGAATTTGGTGGTAGATTGGTAATTGTCAGTTTCAAAGGTAATAGAAGCTTTATGAAAGATGAAGTTATCTCCTTTTTTGTTTTTTTGTGAGAGGCTTGGTTTTAAAGAAAATCTTGAATGAATACACAGGGGTGGAAACATATTCCAAGTCTGCTACAGAAACAGAGCTGACTCCGAAACACTTAATGTAGAACATGTGTTATTAGTCCAGTTTGTGGCAGTAACAAACAATCTGAAAAATTCATTGGTTCACAACCACTAACATTCATTTCTTGCTTTCATTCCATGGGAGAGGCAGGTCAAATAGATTAGAATGGGTTTGGGTTAATTTGACTTCATGTGTTTTTTCATTCTGGAATCCAGGCTGATGAAATAGCCACCATCTAGAACATGTAACTGTCATGGCATAAGTCTATAGAAGAGAATGAGCTGAACTTTTATGCCTCTAAAGCCACTGGCATTCCCACCTACTTTTGTTTTCTTTCCAATTATTTTCAAGTAGGTGAAATGCACACGAAATTTAACATTGTAACCTTTTTTAAGTGTACAGTTCAGTGACATTATATACATAACGTTGTTCTATCATCACCACCATTCATTCCTACAACTCTTTTCATACTCTAATACTGAAATTCTATATCCGAAATCTCCGCGTTTTCTTCTTCCTCAAGCCCCTGGCAACCTCCATATTATTTTCTATCTCTACAATTTTGACTAAGTATATCATATAAGTGGAATCATATAGTATTCATTTTTTTGTGACTGGCTTATTTCACTAGGCCTAATGTCCTCAAAGATTATTACTGTTGTAGTATATGTTAGAATTTTTTTTATTTTAAAGGCTGAATAATATTAAATTGTATGTTTACAGCACATTTTGTTTATCCATTTATCTGATAATGGACTCTTTGTTTGCTTCCACATTTTAGCTGTTCTAAATAATACTGTACTGTTTTGAACATGAGCATGCAAGTATCTCTTTGAGACCTGTAATATGGTTTGGTTCTGTGTACCCA